TTCATGCTCTGTCTCTCTCTGTCCCAAAAATAAATAAACGTTGAAAAAAAAATTTTAAATAAATAAATAAATAAATAAATAAATAAATAAATAAATAAACGTCAAAAAAAAAAAACCCAACAAAAACAACTCTCCAGTACAGTGAGAAAAGGCCAGCCCACCTTGACAGTTTTTGAATCCCTTATTCCCATCATAACTGTCCAATGCAGCAGCCGCTTAAAGCCTCACTTTCAGTAAACTGCTCATTCCAGGTGACCACAGGTGATATAACTTTTCCCACCGTGTGCCCTAGATTTGTAGTATCTGACTTTCCTCCAGTGACATTGTCTTCAAACCCAGCCGGGTCAGACCCAGTTCCAGAGTTCCATCTTGAGGGCCCGATGCCTGTGACCATCTCTAATACCAAATACAGCAAAACCTTGGATTGCAAATAACGTATCTTGTGAGTGTGGCACAAGACAAGCAAACATTTCTAATAAATTTGAATTTGATAAATGAGCAACTTGTAATACGAGTAGGACGTGATGCCGAACGTCACATGATCACAACTGAGCCAATGGTTCTTGAGACTTGCTTTGATCCAGGAATGCTTTGGATTCTAAGCATGTTTCCGGAACAAATTACGCCTGCAAACCAAGGTTTTGCTGCATGTGCGTGCCGGGGTTAGATCCACCCACAGCCACTGCCTGAATGCGGAGAGCGAACACCTTAAAATGGGACTCTGTGATCTCAGAGTTGGATCCAAAAGCTGCCACAACCGCTACTGCTTCTTGGCACCCAGGAAGCTCAAGAAGACACTGGGACTTGCACAAAGAAACCCACCACCTTCCTCTCCAGTGGGAGGGCCAGGAGCCCTAGGAAGATGGTTTCCTAATTTCCACTACCTGACTTCAAGTGAGCGCGTCTAACTAAAGAGCCCGGAGTTATCTCTAGGCTTCCAACCACTAGACCTAGAACATCTTCACGTAAATCTTGCCCATTTCTTATGGAGTTTCTTCCTAGACATTTACCTTTCTCATTACGTGTGTAAATGAGAACTTTTCTTCCGGTATAGCTTTGTTTGGCTGTTGCCTATCATATGAACGTTAGTTTTTGTATAAGAGTTTTATGACCCAAATAAAATCTTTTAGAGTTAATA